AAAATATGGCTGAAAACTGATACGATTCAATGATAACACGCTGTCTCAATGTTTCACTTCCAATAAAATAGTGTCACAACGAAATAGTGAAACTTAGAAACCTTTGGCGGATGAGCCCTGTAGCACAGTGTACTGTTCCTGCAGCTTCAACTGGATCTCACTCTCCTCTGTCACTTGCGAGGCAATAGCCTAAACACACGATAAAAACCTGATTTGAGTTCGAATTCCATACTGAAAACAAGGATAGCCAGTTTCTTTGCACACACAGAATGTTCCATGCACTTTCATAAAAGAAAAAGTTATAATTTTTTTACTTCAAACTTCTGTAATTTTGTTCTTGGCACGATGAAAGAACTATACAAACGCGTAGAACGTCCAAAAAATAGGCTTAATCGACAATAGTTGTCTCCAAAAAAATAACAAACAAAAATTAACAAAAAAAGTAACTTTGAAATACTTTTTTTTTGCAGATTAGGTTTGATTTTAACTTTTCATTGCCAAAGAATGGCTGAATGAAGCTTTCAAAACCAATTTCCTGTCTAGAATTAGAATTACCAGTCCCTAAATGAAAACAAAAATGTTTTCAAGACCTGGCTTGTTTTACTCGCTCGAAATCAGGCTAAAACTCAAAAACTTCAACACACTTTTTCTAGACACTGGGATTTTTGAGTGATATTGCTAATGTTGTCCCAATAACGACTTAAAAGGTTTGGATATAATATCAAACTCAACCCTTTTTGATTCTTATTTGTGATACCAGAAATTGCATGAAAAAAAAAACAACTAAAAAACTGAAACACACCTGAAGGCAAAATTGCTCAATGTTTTTAATGGTCGCAACCAAAACACAAAACACTCATTGATAAAATATATGCAAAATTAGATTATAAATTTTATCTAAACGGTGTGTTGTTTTATACATAAACTATGTTCTACTGATGGAAACATTTGCAAATTATTAGAAAAAAAAGAAAGCATATGGAACAAAGGTACGTAGCGTGTTAAAACTTCAAGCCATATAAATAATCAACTCAGTTTTTTCTGAATTAGTTTACCCTACACTGTTTTATCAGCCTAATTTTCAGCTATTCACATGCAAGCCTCCACCGTTCAAAAAACATTACAGATTTATTATTGAATTAACTCTAAATTGACGTTTTTATGAAAAACAGTTGACGTTTTTTAAGATCTTCAATTTTTCATGCAGACATTTTAGACCAGATAGTATAAAATCAAGAAACAACCCTCAGGAGAACTAAGACTACCCGCATTCAGTTTAAAGCGTTAATAATCGATTATATTACGATTTTAGTACCAGTCTCACTTAAATTGAGAAACAATCGATTTTATTCAATTAATAATCGATTATAATCACTCTTTTTAAAATCAAATTTTAATCAATTATAATAGATTTTTTATTCGTCTATTTTTCGATAAAATTATAATCGATTATAATTGATTATAATCCATTATTTTTATTCAAATTTCTATTTCAATAGTTTTGCATAAAAATCCATTATAATCGATTATAATTGATTATAATCCCTTTTGTTTGTCCATTTTTGTCTTCGAAGTTGCATCTAAATTGCTTATATTTTATGCTTTTTGTGGACATTGGTTTCTATAAAAAATGAGGAAAATATTTTAAAAGTTTTCCAATTGATTTAAAATTATAAGTTTTTTTTCATTTCTTCCCCATTAGGGTTGTTATGTGATGCATATTTTAAGCTTTTTTAAACACCAAAACATCAGCAAATTGATTCAGTCTCATGATTGATTCGGAAAATTTATTTTTCATGTACTGCGAGAACCTTTCTTTTCATATGAAAGGATCTCTATGAAACTTTTGTTTCGTGGTAAAACTTTGTGTTCAGATGAACCAAAGTGTTCAAGAGATCTCTCTTTTAGAGATTTTCTTACTGACACAAAATTAATAACCCATAAAGTATAATTCAAATATCGCAAAATTTCGGCAAAATGAGAGATTATAATCGATTATAATTGATTTTAAGGGTTTTTAGTAAGAATTCTCATCAATTATAATCGATTATAAGAGATTATAATCTCTTGGAAAATATCACGATTATAATCAATTATAAATCCCTTAAGGACCTAATTTTGGAAATTATAATCGATTATAATTGTCAAAAAATCATCATAGTAATCCGTTATAATCGATTATTTACGCCTAAACTTGGATGCGGGTATGCTTATGTAGCAACATATGGAAGTTTGTGAAACTGAGCATGCCAACACACCCCTCGTGATGCCTTCTTGATTGGAACATTTGTTTGTAGTTTTTTGTTTATCATCTGGCGTGTGTATGCCCGCATCGAGCGCCCATGGATTCTAATCGATTATAATGGATTCCCGAGACAAAAATAATCTATTATAATCCATTACGGATTTAAAATTCAGACCACGAAATCGATTATATAGCCATTATAATCGATTTTTTTTTAACAAATATAATCCATTATAATCCATTATAATCGATTATAATACATTATTTTTGTCACTGAAATCGATTGTTTTTGCCAAGATAATCCATTAGAATCGATTATTTTGAAATGGAAATCCATTATAATCCATTATAATTGATTATAATCCATTTCATTTTTAGAACTAAATTCGAATATTTTTGCAAAATGTTGCAAATTATCCGAGAAGTTTGCAGAATTTATGCCCTGTCTTTTACTAAAATGCCATGTCTCAACTTCGTCCCCTCGCCCCTCAAGCTTTTTACCCCCCCCCCCCCCAACCAAAGGGGCAGGGTAAACTGGGGGAGGGGTGTAAACTGGGGGGATGGGGAAGTAAACTGGGGGGGGGATGGGAGGGGTAAATGGTGGGAGGGGGGGTTGTAAAGTGTGGGGGGGGATAGTAAACTGGTGGGTGGTAGTATACTGGGTACTGGGGGCTTAACTGGCTGGGGGGTGGGGTGGGTAAAATGAAGTGTTAAATTGCGATGAATTACAAAAAGTTGAGACAAAAAATATATCAATTTTTTTCTTAAATTTAACATTTTATGAAACATAACACGTAGTAACTACACAAAACAAGAAATGAGATAATTTTGAACAAAATTGTAAATTTCATGAAAAACCCCTCGAAAAAATCCATTATAACCGATTATAATCGATTATAATGGATTTTTTTGGGATAAAAAATATTAGGATTATAATCCATTTTTAATGGATTATAATCGATTATTTTGTCATTTTATAGATGCTGACCATATTATGACACTATAATCGATTATGATCCATGGGTGCTCGGTGCGGGTGCTTTAAAATAGGTGCGAAGCTGTGCTTTACAAACACGAGCAAAAAACCGAACAAAGAAGAAGAAAAACTAATAAGTTATGAAAAATAAATGACCTCTACGGAAACTAATCATCGGTCCTCGGACATGTCTGTTTTCCAGTTAGCTTCCTTAAAAAATTGTGCCGCTGGTGCTTAAAACACCAAAAACAAACGGCAAACGGGAGCTTCAAATTTCATTTAAACACAAATTTTGGATGTAATAATTTGGAATGTTATAAGCTGAAGGCAACCACACTAATTTGCGTGTAATAAGTAGAAAATTCAAGCCAAACTTTGTATAACTATGCAACTAAGCATTTCAAAAACATCGCATAAAAAATTGAGTAGAACATTTTCTGAAATCGAGTTTTAATCAATACACTGCTATATGAAACAAATAGCTTCTTTCGGCTCATTTGAGGATTAAAAAAAGCATCAAGTGAATTAAATTATTACTAATCAAACGTCAAGCACACGGCATTATACTACCAATGCTGCATCCCGCCTTAATATTGTTCCAAAAGTTACACATCCACGTTGTCAAAGGTGTCACGAAATTAGCACTTTAGTTTGCGAGTTAGCTTGGAAAAAAAGTGGCATTGTAATATCACACTACGATGATGTGCTTGTGTGAAGACTAACCCTCCAGATGCGACTGACTTGTACACAGGAGGCTATGCTCTTCTTGTCGAGGAAGTTCAGAATGTACTTGGAGAGGTAGACAGGCAGCTCACGCACAAAGTCCTACAACAGAATAAGGTGTCACTTTTGATACAAATCAGATGAAGTCAAATATGTCACGCAAAAACTCAGCTTGAATCTCAAATTAATTTTTCAAGTTTTTTTTGTCATCGTCATTAAGCCTCCAGTTGTGATTTTAAGATTAATTTCATGCTCAATTCCAATAAAAGTTTAATGATATTTGAATGTTTAAATAATTTATATTTCTTACATAATCTAGTTAACATGTTGTGCGAATATTCACATTTATGGCAGCTATTTGTTCTGTTTTTAAAAGATGAAAACTCTGACCTTGAACTTGCTGATTCCGGATGCAGCCGACTGTGAGAATAAGGGGAGTGTGTCTGCTGGCTCCACAGTTCCATCTCCGCCTCCTTTTGTTAGGTGGTGACCTTGACCACTTCTCCTCGTAGCTGTCTTAACCGCCACTCTGTATTAAAAAACAACCAGTTATACTTAAAACTGGACAATAAAAGCCGACTGCTATCGCAATGAATGTTCCTGCAGCAGCAATTGTGGAAAAAAAAGAATTTAAAGGCATGAAAATGATTCAATTTAGCATTTCAACGCGCAAAATTATTTTTTGTCAGAAAATGAAGTTTTGTCTTTTTCCCAGTTTTATCAAAAAAAGTTTAAAAAAAACAGATAAATGAAATGATTAAGATCTCAGATCTCACTTTTTCTCGTCCGCTATGGCCTTGTTGAGCACTTTGATCCTGTGCTGCTTCCTCAGTCGGGACTCCTTGGCAAAAGTCCTGCCACTCAGAGGGTTCTTCGCATCCATAGTATACTGTTTGGGATCCTTGCACTCCTTCAGAAAGGCCAAGTTGGGATGTTTGTTCGAGACGAAAGTCTCCTCACTGGCTGTGTCTGAGTCATATGCCAAATTATCTCCTCCTAAAATTTTGTAGCATTAGAGAGTGATGTTAATTATCTTCATATTAGATAGCACAGGGGAGACCCACACACAGCTACGGAAAACCCATTATCGAGATTTATCAAACCAACACTTGTCGAAGGAAACTATGGTAACGTCAAAAAACACCGCGATGAAGAAAAAGATTTCACAAAGAAAGATCAATAAAAAGTCGCAAATTAAACATTTCATGCTAATAGTATATAAAACTGCGTTACTAAAGCATCTATGAAAACTGGCGGACTCTCAAGCTCCAGGAATAGCTTTTTACTGTATTTTTCAGGAAGTTTTTACTGTATTTCTGCTTGCTAAGCTCTTCTATGGTTATAGTTTTAGAATTGAACGGTTAACAGTCGAAATCGAGTAAATACCCGCTATGACCAAAAATGCTAGTCATACAATTTTCATATATGGAAAAAGGCTGAGCATACACTTTTCATGCAATTCCATAAACACAGAGAATTGCATGAAAGGTCTATGATTAGTGATTTTTTATAAATGAAAGCTGTATGACCAGTAACTTTCCATAAATCAAAAATTTTATTTAAAAAAAATTAATTTCTCAAATTTTTTGGATTTTGTTCGTAACTAAACTCAAGTGACAACGAATTTGGTTACTCAAAAGTAGAGTCACCAAAAATTTAATCGTCTCGTATTTACAATGCATCGGAAACGGCCTGAAATTTTTTAGTTTTGTCTTAAACAAATAATATAATGGAAGTATCAAACTTTTAATTTTTGGCAAACATTTGACAAGCGATTTAACTAATCATGTATTGCTCAAGGCATACAAAATCATGCCACAAAAAATAAATAAGTGTTTTGACCGTTTTTAAAAAATTTATCCTGAGAAGCGCAAAAAAAATCTATTTTTGTGTATCCAGGACTACATTATGCACACAAAAAACTGATTCTGCAAATTTTTTTTTTTGAAAATGTTTGTTTAAGTACAAAATTTGTTTTGCAAAACAAGAAAAAGTTTTTTGAAAATTCGATGACCTTATTTTAGCAAAATGTATGAAATTTGTATGACTAGTATTTTTTCATAGACTTAGTTTATGGAATTGTTTTAGCATTTTCGGTCTACGTATCAGTAAGTATACAACTGCGTATTCATACTCGTCAGTAAGTAGACAAATGCTATATTAATCAATCAGAATCAACACATACACACGCGAAGACACGTACACACACATAAACACACACACACACACAAACAAAAACACACACACAGACACACAAACATAAACACACACACACACACACACACACACACACATACATACACACACACATATACGCATACACATACACACAAACATACCTGTGCCCTGATCGTTGGCCTGATCACTGTGTTGTCTCTCCTCCATTTTGGTGAGCATCTCTTCCACCAGACCCCTCTGACTACTCATGGCCACCGTCCTCATCTGGTTCTTCAAGGTCAGCAACAAGTGCGAGTCACACAACTTCAACAGCTCCAACATGTAGTTCATCTGCACATGAAAATAAAAAACGTTTCAAGTAATTTATACTAACAAAAATTACATGAAAGTATGGAAATTAACCAAAAAAAGCTCCAAAATGTTGTTCATCTGAGGACGAAATGAAAAAAAAAAGATTTTTTTATCATAGTTAACTGTTTTTAGGCAGTTGAAGAATAAAAATTCGATTAATGAGAAAATATAATTATCATGTTTTGGCCGGGCAAATCACAATTGGATCAACTGAACTGCTTGCACGTATCTCTTTTTTAAATTAATTACATTAATCCAATTAGGATAGATTCAATTTATAGCCGAATAAATAAAATTATTTCAGAGAAAAGCTACCAAAACGAGGTAGGTTGTTGAACTCACTGCCTGGTTCGGCAATTGCCATATTTCTTAAGACATGCACCCGTTTTTTTAAGCTTTTTTTCCAACTGGGGCTTGAGAACTCAGCTATATAAAACGAAGGATTATGATGAGATTGAGAACACGAAAGCTCCACGAAAGGCCTTGAGCTCTGGCGGACTTCATCTTCCGCCTCCAAAAGGATAAATGAATGAAAAGACAAAAATTCAGGGTGCAGCAGTAACTAAAAATTAAAGCTTGCATTCCAAAAATTAAAAAAAAAATTGGGAATAAAAAAACCTAATTTTGTAAAAAAAAAAATATTTCAGGCTTTTTTTGGAAATTATTTCGTGCTTACCTTTAAATACATTTCGGGATCAAAAGACGCATTTGAAAAAATTTTGTAGTTTGTCAAGCAGATATAGAGCACAAAGTACAGTTCTCTCTAAACCCGCTAAGGAACTTAAATTTTATGTTTTTTTATGAACTTGATTGACCTTTGCATAGTGTGAGGTGTGTGCGAACCAGTGCCACGTGTCAAATATCTCCGCCTGAAGACCTTCCACATCCAGGGTTCTATCTCCATGACTGGATACCTGGTCCCTGGATAATCCTGGTGCTGATCTGGTGCGACTGTAGGTGTAGTCCTTGCAGCAGATGGGCTGGATGAGGTGCTGAATGTACTGGATTAGTTCTTCACTTGGCATGCGTCTGGCCAGACCACAAACGAATACTTTCTTTGTGTTTTCACTTGCACTGCAGACAAAAAATAAGACGTGTCATATATACACAGTAAACGTCTTTTCTACAAATAAACCAATAAGATTAGGCCAGGGAGAGGGGCGGATCAAGGATTTTCTCGAGGGTGGGGGGATTTTCAAAAAATTTTCGAAAAGGTTGCTAACCTTTTTTTAGGTGGACCGAATTGAGTTTCCGGGTGCTCCCAGAACACTATAAAAACCTATTTTGACCAAAAAATTGTCATGCAAAAAAATTTTGAAAAAAAAACAGGTCAAAAATGCGAATCCCTGAAGAAAAATGCGAATCCCTGTCAAAAATGCGAATCCCTGTCGAATCCCTGAAGAAAAAGAGGAGCAATTTTAAGCTGACCAATTTGAAACGTTTTATAAATGCGTCAGATATTTTTGTGCTCAAATAGTTATTTTTATACTTAAGGAGAACTCAGGAGATCATTTTGGTAGACCTAACAGAAATCGACAAAATTTAGAAAGTGTTTTGAAATATCCCTCCCCTGGACACAACAATTAAACCAAAATTAGTGCCTGAAGATAGCAACCTAGTTCCAAATTTTCTCGATAACTATCTTGAGTGGATAATAGATAAATTGAAAACATCTTATGAAAGTATCAGATATTTTTTAAAGAAAAAGAAAAATTGATACTCAACCACGGTCTGGGCTGGTGCTTTATAACTGGGTTCCACCTTTTCCATTTTTTAAAATAGTACAACAATTCAGCTGCATGTCATAATGAAATTACGAACAGCTGAACAGAGAATTTTTTAACGTTTCAACTTAGTTTAATGAACTAATCCTTATTTGCCAAAATTTATAATTGATATTTGTTAATTGTTTACTCACCGGTTGAACCAATCAACAGTCCTGGTGACATATCCGTGTAACTGACATGCCTCGCACTCCCCACACACTCTCAAGTCGTCTCGATCACCCGTCAACACCTCCCCTTGCACAGTACACTTCACCACTATATTGTTGTACAACTCCTCACCACCCGGCCGCTTCGGTTCGAATCCGCGTCTAGTCGCCTCCGTTTTCATCCGTCGATTTGTCCAATTTTTGATTTCGTTAATAAATTCAAGATAATTGTATTCTTAAGTCATTAAGGAAATAGTTTGTGATGAAACAAAATGAATGAGCGGATGGGCGTAAATGGTATTTGGGATTAAACAAAACAACCAGAATAACGTCGATTGTTTGACGATTTTGATCAAAGGAAGTGATTTTAAAAAAATGAATACCCCAAGTTGGAAATCAATTTTTTTGGCAGAGAATGTAATTTTGTTTTCAACACTAAAACAGCTTAATGATGAAGCTCACAGTATTTCTGTCAGGGGTAATTTGATTTCAAAAACTATCTTTCTTTTTGAAATTTTAAATTATTTTTTGTTTATTATTAATCAAATTAAATCTAGGCTTCGTAATGCGACTTTAATCTTTTCAAAATGCACCAAAGTGTTAAAGCTAATGACAATAATTATCAGTAGGTTGATAATAGCAACCGTGATTCGCGAATTGATCAAACAAAATCAAACGCTCAAAAAGATCATGTATGAAAAAAAATATTTTAGTTAAGCTATTAAAATTGCAAATAAAATCTGCTTGCTACTTGAATACTTCAGAAAAACAATATGCAAACAATTGCTGATGGTTAGATATTAAATGCAGCCAATGTTGTTCATGGTCTTATGTAAAAATCAACATGGTTTAACTGATAGTACAAAAATGTAAGCACGTTATAAGGTTGCGATTGCAATTGAATAGAGACCATTGTCTATTTGGTATAAATAAAGCAGTAGGTACTAAACGAGACACCTATTTCCATCACAATTGAAGGAAATTTATCTCACCATAAAATTTAACATGACAAAAAAATCCAAAACCCATCGTGGCGTTTTATGGTTTCAGTTTGATTCAAAATTATAAATCACAGCCAAATTCATTGAGATTATTCATAAACTTCTCAAGTTTATGACTCATAAACAAATAATTACGTTATTGTTAAAGCCTGAAATTGTCGACATTTCCGTTTTAAATGCTTATAGAAGCTACAGAGAAAAAAAATTCGAAAAAGACTTTAATAAAATTTTAAACAAAAAACAGAAAAAATAGATAACCACACTTTCCTTGCAAAAAAAGATGAAAATTAACACGATTACTCGCATCGCTTTGAAGGTAGAGCCTTGAAGGTTCTGACTACTTTTTAAGGTCCATGGAGCAGTTTGTTTTCCAAAAAATGAAGAATTTTTCAAAAAATATATATTTTTATTCTTAAGAGTTTTTGAAAATCATCCCTCACACGTCGTATTAAGTACAAACTGATAGATGTCGCTCCTACTGTACATAGCAATTAAGACAAACATACTGCTTCAACCCATTTGGAACGATTTCTAGGACGGATTAAATCTCCGGTTACACATTAATAGCGCAAAATATAACGCATGTCAGTTGTTCCAAATTAGCCATTTTAGCAATCATTAAACCCCCCACAATTTTACAAAAATCACAGGTAAAATATCTTGTTAAATTTGAGCTCAAGATAACAATACTTTTCGAATGATATAAAAAGTTTTGTCAAAATTGCCAGTCAAAAAATTATAATTTGTCTGCAGAAAAAACCACCCCGCGCGTAAATATTCCGTCATTTTCTTCGAAAATAGTCGGAGCAAACAATTGCGGATCAAATTAGCTAGTATCAAGAAGACTTTTTTTGTTCGGGCAACGAAATTTGCTTCTGGAACAAAAAAAATATTGCAAAATGCTATCTTTTTTGATCATAATGAATTTTTTTTCTGATTTGGATAGGAACATTGAAAAAACGAAAACTTTTGTTGCAGCTCAATTTGACGCTGAAAAGTTTTCTCCTAAAACGGAAGACTGGAGGATGGAGACCTTTTCGAGTATGTGTCAAGAGTATGTGAACTCCAATAACTTAAAAATAAACAAAACAAGACTGCTCGTATCAGCGTGAAGCCCTGAATGTTCCGACTGCCTTTTAAGGTCTATAGAGCAGTAATAACACGAAAAAATAATAAAACGTAATAATAAAACACAAAAACGTGATAAAATAAAGTGAAAAAAATGAGGTTTTTCGTGAAAATCACCGCACCCCCACACGCCATAGAAAATACAAAGTGATGGATGTCACTCCTAGTTACAAATCAATTATGGCAAATTAGCTTCCTTCAACCATTTTGGTACGATTTCTAAGACAAATTAAATCTCCGCTTACGCGTTAATAGCGCAAAATATAACGCTTGTAAATTGTTTCAAATTGGCCAGAATGGTTATCTTTAAACCCTTATAACTTTACGAAAAATGATCATAGGTGAATTATGTTATTAAATTTTTTGTTCGGGCAACGAAATTTGCTTCTGGAACAAAAAAAATATTGCAAAATGCTATCTTTTTTGATCATAATGAATTTTTAAATTCATAATAAAATTTTAAACAAAAAACAGAAAAAATAGATAACCACACTTTCCTTGCAAAAAAAGATGAAAATTAACACGATTACTCGCATCGCTTTGAAGGTAGAGCCTTGAAGGTTCTGACTACTTTTTAAGGTCCATGGAGCAGTTTGTTTTCCAAAAATTGAAGAATTTTTCAAAAAATATATATTTTTATTCTTAAGAGTTTTTGAAAATCATCCCTCACACGTCGTATTAAGTACAAACTGATAGATGTCGCTCCTACTGTACATAGCAATTAAGACAAACATACTGCTTCAACCCATTTGGAACGATTTCTAGGACGGATTAAATCTCCGGTTACACATTAATAGCGCAAAATATAACGCATGTCAGTTGTTCCAAATTAGCCATTTTAGCAATCATTAAACCCCCCACAATTTTACAAAAATCACAGGTAAAATATCTTGTTAAATTTGAGCTCAAGATAACAATACTTTTCGAATGATATAAAAAGTTTTGTCAAAATTGCCAGTCAAAAAATTATAATTTGTCTGCAGAAAAAACCACCCCGCGCGTAAATATTCCGTCATTTTCTTCGAAAATAGTCGGAGCAAACAATTGCGGATCAAATTAGCTAGTATCAAGAAGACTTTTTTTGTTCGGGCAACGAAATTTGCTTCTGGAACAAAAAAAAATATTGCAAAATGCTATCTTTTTTGATCATAATGAATTTTTTTTCTGATTTGGATAGGAACATTGAAAAAACGAAAACTTTTGTTGCAGCTCAATTTGACGCTGAAAAGTTTTCTCCTAAAACGGAAGACTGGAGGATGGAGACCTTTTCGAGTATGTGTCAAGAGTATGTGAACTCCAATAACTTAAAAATAAACAAAACAAGACTGCTCGTATCAGCGTGAAGCCCTGAATGTTCCGACTGCCTTTTAAGGTCTATAGAGCAGTAATAACACGAAAAAATAATAAAACGTAATAATAAAACACAAAAACGTGATAAAATAAAGTGAAAAAAATGAGGTTTTTCGTGAAAATCACCGCACCCCCACACGCCATAGAAAATACAAAGTGATGGATGTCACTCCTAGTTACAAATCAATTATGGCAAATTAGCTTCCTTCAACCATTTTGGTACGATTTCTAAGACAAATTAAATCTCCGCTTACGCGTTAATAGCGCAAAATATAACGCTTGTAAATTGTTTCAAATTGGCCAGAATGGTTATCTTTAAACCCTTATAACTTTACGAAAAATGATCATAGGTGAATTATGTTATTAAATTTAAGCGCAGTAAAACAATATTTTTGAATGATTAAAAAAAATTCGTCAAAAGGGCTAATTAAAAAGTCAAAATTTGTCTGAAAAATAAACCACTCCGATCACAAATATTCCGCTTATTTTTTTTCAAAATTCGGAACAACAAAGCTGCTTGTATCAGGGTAAAGCGCTGAATGTTTTGACTGCATTTTAATTTTTATAGAGTTGTTTGAATTAAAACAGCTGATGAAGTTTTCGAAAAAATAAAAAAAATTAATGATAAAACTAAGATTTTGTGGCGAGGAGTAGAATACAGTAAAAAAGTCAACTCTGAGCAGGATTGGCCAGATTATGAGAAACAAGATGTCACAAAGACAACGAGAATAAAGTGTGACGCTAGCCACACACGCTTAGGGCAGCTCAATGAAAAACATCGAGGTAATTGAGATCGCAGAATTTTTTGTTAAAAGACTTGCAAGGATTCTCGCTTTTCTCGCTTTTCGTCGGATTGCAAAACCCACGCCTACTTTGGAATAAAAACCTGCGCATGGTGTCACCATTCCACAATTATATTAGCCATAAAGGACACTAATTCAAGGTCAAAGAGGAATACACACAATACGGTACGTGACCAACAACTGAGCTTTACTTTGATGTTCTTAATCAACCAACCTAAGTTGGTACCAGTATTTCTAATATTTAATCACCGGAAACCAGTCGTTATGTTCTTCAATAAACTTATTGGTAAAGTTTTCACTATTATTGGAAATACTTATATTTTTTTCGAAAAGATCCCAGAATTGCTATCATATGTTTTTTGAAGTCTACGACTAATTATAGAACTTCAGGTGAAATCTGAACTCGTGCAAAGAGTTCCCCATTTAACGGTATCCCGCTGTGATGCTCCCTCCAATTATGAGTTATGGCGGCTAAATTTCCAAGGAGTCTACTAACTCGGCAAACACAAGATAGTTCATTTCTAAATTCTTGCGTCCAAAGAAGGCGCTGTCACTGACATTTTGACTCCTAGTTACTTTTTATTTTGCTAGATCTTTATTAATCTAATTTTACCATTTGACTTTTACTTAATCACGTTTTGACTGCAAGAATCAACGGACTACGGTTCTTGATGGCTTGGGAGAGAGTTACTTTCTAATGTTTCAACTTCAACGGTAAATAATTCGCTTTTACACTGAATTCAATTCATAATTACTATTTTCAAAACCCTTTTTTTGAACTTTTTGTTTGAAACTATTGTTAGGGAAAAATCATTTAGTTTCAACTAGAACCTTTCTTCTTTATCATTTTCGGGCACCTTCAGCCCTCAGTAGTCTGCAAACCCGAAGACCGTTTCTTTGTTCTAATTTTGACTGTTTCTACTCAGATAACTCTGATTGATACTCAACTCTGGAAAAATATAAGAATCAAGAAGATAAAACTAAATCATATATAAACAGAGAACAAAAAGATACAAAAAATGAATACACTTAATAATCTAACTATGATAACCAAGTAAATAAGATCTGTTTACAAAGGGACTTCACAGGCGCTGAGCAGTCCCAAGAAAAAAGTCCTTTTTGTCAGAAGGCACTGAGCAATTTGGGCAAATGTGCGATCCAAACAGGTCATCAGCAGTAAAAGCACTTCGTTTCCAGCGACACACCCACCAGCCCCCGCCATTTCCTCCAACCAGCGCCATTTTTAAACTCACAACGACAACAAGTCATTTTGGACTGAAAATTCAGGGACATTAGGGTCCCAAAAAAAAGATTTTGCAAAAGGTCAATGAATTCAAGGAAATCGGAACAAAAATGATCGACTTATTCCTCTCGAAAATCTATCTACTAAATTGATCACATCAAGCGCTCGTAAGATAACCCGTTAATTACCCCTAAACTATATCTCGCTATCTTTCACTAAATATCAATTAAAAATATTTTTATTTGAAAACGATTACTGGGGAAAGCTATGAGTATTTTTGTTCGTTTAACACCAAAAATTGAGTCCAAAACCTTGATTGCCTTAATTGGTATATCAACATTTTTGTATATCACCAGTACATTAATGCGATAAATAGATTGGTTATGCTCACCACACTGTATATAAATTCATTCAACAAACAAGGAAGGAGCAAAGCGCAACGGAAAATCGTCTGATTCGGTTCAAATCCGAAAAAAACCTTTAAATGTCCTAAATATGAAATATTGCAAGAAAGGATAAAAGAAGTGTATCAGAAGTGCAAGAAAGTGTAAGCCCCTTTATACCAAAGATAATTTGACGCTCAAAGGCTTTGATGTTTTGCCGCTTTTCTTGTTTCACCCTTAGACTAAAGGGAAATTTAATTTTCTTCCGAGTTTTATTCGAGTAGTCGTGTTTTGCGAGTTTTCTTTAGTTGCGAGTTGTCGCAGTCCCGTTCTGCATTTATACACTGATTAGTACAAAATCGCATAATTGAGAAGTTTGGGCGAAATAAGTAAGCAGACCAGGATATTTTCGCTCAATTTTTCATGAAAACAAATAACACGATTTAAATGGAAATTTACTGAGTTCATGTGCGTTAAAAATGCTTAACATAAGTGTCAGCACAACGCCGAAGAATTTTCATATCAAAGTTCTTATTGTCTCACAATCCTAGTTTATCGAATTTTCATTTACGATGCAGCTGTTAACTTTGTCGTTATAACCACTATTAAGAGATATTGGCTACTGAAATCTTTACAAACAATGGCCAGTGCAGTTTTACCAAAAACTCAGGTTCTCAAAAATTTCTCGTAAACAATTGCGTGTAGAAGCGTACTACATTCTTTCCAATTTATTAGGACAATTTTTTTCCATGTTAGTGTTGTGAAACACTAGTCTACGTTTTTATTCGAATTGATGTTATTTCAAATTGATAGACGATTTTCAATACAGGAGTCCGTCTGACCAACTCTACTCGCAGATTGTTCTATATACGTTGAGTCTAATAGCCGTTTGCCAACACTTTTCTTAAAAAAACATAGGAATTACTGTTTTAATTAAATCAGAAAATTTTAACTACAATTTAACGATTCAACCAATTTTTAAGCTGAATCAAACTTTGCTGAAGTAGCTCGCCGAAAAAAATCAGTGTTAAACTTTCCAAAAGTTTTTTCTCATCAACAGTTCATTTTATAACCATAACATCTCAACAAAGATTTCGCAAAAGGTCAATGAACTCAAGGAAATCGGAACAAAAATGATTGACTTATTCCTCTGAAAAATCTATAAACTAAATTCCACTCTCGAAATCATTCACGTTCAATTCGACACTACGTTTAGCAAATGAGTTTGAATTGACCTTTAGCAAATGAGTTTGAAAAAATCAGATTTGAATCCCAAAAACAAAAAAATCTTCACAATGTTCACTGAAACTCGAAAGCCAATTTCGAAAGTTTTAACCCAATACAACTCCAATAACTAGTGAAAATTCAGTTCCTTCATTTCCAACTATCAAACCGCCAACATATGATATATTCGGCAAACCGAGCCTTCGGCGAATAAGTTTTAAGCGCATTGAGTGCATGCAGCTGACCATTTAGATTTCAGTTTATTACGTCCTTAATAAATCATTTCAGTTTGATTTTTTAAAAGTTCATTTATATTAAGTTCAGATGAGATTCCTTCTGGGGTCATTTGAGTTCAGTAGACTGCAGCCTGTGGACCAATGTGGGCGTTCATTCTCTCCATAGATCTGGACATGTTGATGGGTTGGGAGGGGGTTCGGCCCACTGGCTGTCTTATTCTCTGCACCTCTTTTTCCAGGCTGTGGACGTAGCTGTGGATAGTGCTGAACAGAGGTCTGTTGTCCGGGTTGAAACTCCAGCACCGCATCAGAAAGTCCTTGAGAAAAAAAATTAAATTAAGCTGCCAAGAACATTAAACAAACTTGCTCGGATAGTTTAAACAGAGAGGCTGTTAAACACAGAAACAGTTTAAACTGAAACTGTTTAAATATTTAAAAACAATTTTTTTTAAATTACCCCTAATCAGACTTGATAAATTTACAAATTACTGAACTTTCCGTTATAGTTAAAAATTGTTTAAGTTGGAATAAACCCATGCTCTTGAAAGTAAGTCAATAAAAACCGTACCGGATGAAAAAAATGGCGTTTAAAAAAACGGAAAATTAACTGACAGAATCTAGGACGAAAGCCACAAACCCAAAAAAAAATTTGAAATGTTTTTTTTTTTGAAAAATAAATACACCCTGAAACGGTCATTACCTAATTACTACTTAAAATATGGTAGTTTTATTTGAATTTTCAACGAATTGAGCACGCCAGACGTGATATTTACCATTCCTACTAAATTGACCAATCTATGAACAAAGTTTTTTACAGGAAAAAAGTCTACAGTGCTGATTTAAATTATCCGGACAAAACTTGAATTTTCAAACACATTTTTCTCAATTTGTAATAAGATTAGGCAAAAAAGAAGAGAACAAAAGTTGCTTAGAATTTCATCAGAATTAATATGGCGCATTTGTTTCTCCAAAATTCTCAACCAAAATTTTACTCCAAAAATGGGTAATTTTGTCTTTTTTCAATTTATCAAGAATTACGCTGAAACTACTTTGTTAATCGATGAGAAAAATATATCACAAAAAGCTTCTTACACAGCCCAACAAAGTTCTAGAAGGGGCTAAATCTCCAAAAATTTGAGTAACTTGTTTAAAATTTGTTTTTAAGCAAAGATTTTGGATTTTATACAGTAAAAATCACGTTTTATTAACTATCAAGCAAAATTATTTTCTCTTTTAAAGGTTTTTGGAGATTTAGCCTCTTCTACAACTTTGTTGAGCTGTGTAAGAAGCTTTTTGTGATATATTTTTCTCATCAATTAACACAGTAGTTTCAGCGTAATTCTTGATTAATTGAAAAAAGACAAAATGACCCATTTTTGGGGTAAAATTTTGGCTGAGAATTTTGGAGAAAAATTGCACCATATTAATTCTGATAGAATTCTAAGCAACTTTTGTTCTCTTCTTTTTTTGTCTAATCTTAACCCAATTTGAGAAAAACCTGTTTGAAAATTCAAGTTTTGTTCATTTTGTCCGGATAATTTAAATCACCACTGTAGTACCCGATTGCAATACCCTTGCGTATCGCTAGGTTTGAAGCAAAATCTTAAAGCATGCTAGATAGCACCACTAAATAATCTCAAGAAACATATCCAGCCATATCAGGGTGATTTGATACAAAAAGCATGCAACAGTTAAATCGTAATTACTTAAATCGCCAATTTGACGGTTCAGCTTTCAAACCTACAATTGCAACGCAACCGAACCTGTTTGTTGATACACATAAGTTGTCTGTTTACCTTGAATCGCTTTGAGCTCTGAAATGAAGCAAGACTGTTTTTGCAGCCAGAAGCGACAGACCAAATGACACTGTGACAAGATACGTGTTCATGAAGGAATCTGCCACTGAACAGCTCGAAACAGACAACTCCGAACGCATACACGTCAGTCTCCATGGTGAAGGGCAGCATCTGGTCTATGTTCCAGTGGGGAGAGAGCACAGTGACCAGCTCAGGAGCCAAGGAGCTCAGCCAGCCAGGGGGACAGAAGATACCCAGTTCCCCTCTGAAAAAAAAAATAAAATTATTTACATTTTTGAGGACGAATAAAATTGTCTCATAGCTGACAAAGTAGCTTGAACGAATTTCAAAATCAAGAAAAGTTCCATAATTGCATGACAACAGAACTCAATTAAGAGATAACGCGTCGTTTTTTGGAGTATTTCAACGGCCCGGACCAGAGCCGCGTCTGAAAAATCGTCTGAACTGTCAGCTTTGAAGTGAAACATTTCGCACCCAAATCGCAAGCAAGATCTATCTACTACTTTCCTTGAAGACTCAAAAAGAACTTTCAGAACATAGCAAAATAGCGAAGTCAAGAGAGGAAGTGGACTATAGAACTCACGAGTGTGAATTTTGGACCACTTTGGTGATGTTTGCCAGTCCGTAGTCGGTGATGATCACGTGGTTTCTCTCATCCACAAACAGATTGTTCGTCCTGAGGTCCTTATGCACTATGGCCCGTCCGTGCAGATAGCCCATACCCTGTAGCAAATTAATTACTCAAACATAGCCAACAGACAGTTGGGAAAGAGTCAATGAATGCAAGCAGGAAAAAATTGATTTGTTTGATTTGCAAAAAAACTGCCATGTTCGAATTCCAAATAAAAAAAATGGCCTTTAAGCTCTTTGAATTTCAAAGGCAATTTTAAATTGGCCTTTTTGATAAAATTAACCCAATTTGAGAAAACTGAATTATTAGTGGATATGTTTTTATTCCACTGTGTATTCTATAAATTATACTCTAAAATGCCTGTTTTCAAAGTCCATTTTGGTCAACATTTCCTTCGAAATTCGGTAAAAATTTTACATAGACCGAGAGCAAATGATCAAAGCTACTCTCTATGAAACTATCAATATTTGGAGTCAATGACTTACACTTGTGGACAAAATTAACAAAATTTGATTTCAAAGACTACCAGTGTTTTCCGGGTTTGAAAATAGTAAGAAACAGCTAATTTTAGTAAAGTTTTCACACTGATTATTTCAATTATTTCAATTTTATCGCTAAGAATGTTTCACGTCGCATGAACAGCTTTTTTACTCCGCTTATTCATGAAAGAATTCACTACGATGCAAAACAAAGTGCAGACGAGGCAACCTGCGTTTTTCAGCCCTGGATTACATTGTTAAGTCATTAAAAGCAAATCTTGATGGTTTCGTAGAGGGTAGCTTCGACCAATTTCTCTTGGTCTATGTAAAAATTTTACCCGATTTCGAAGGAAATTTTGTCCTAAATGGACATTGAAAGCAGGCATTGTAGAGAGTCCACTAGTGTAAGAGTCTGAAATACGTTCATAGACTCTTAAAAATTGAAAACAATTACCATGTGAACAGTTCTGAAAACAATTACCATATAACAGAATATCGAATAAATTAACCTGTGCAGTCTGTTCCAGTATCGTGACTATGGTAGGCATCGGCATTTCGTCTCTCGTTTGGTGAATTTTCCTGTACAATGTTTTTCCTTTGCACAAACTGAAATGAACAGACAATTCGGAAAACTGCTCGTCAAATTAACTATGGAAGAAATTCGGTAATTTATGCTTAAAGAAACTCTCAAGATTGATTCGTTCAAAAAAAGAGCCATTCCTGTTGTTTTCTGGGCCGAAATGAATTGATGAGCGAAATTTTGCAGGTGATTGCATAAAAAAAACACTTGCCTGGTGATTATTGCTGGCGTCTGCGGATCCCTGCATGCAGCCATGAACAGCACGATGTTGTTATGCCTTGCTTTACACAATGTCTTAATATCCTTCATGATTATATCTGTGTCGTGAGGAGTTGTAGATCTTCTTCTCGCGTCCGACAACGAGTTCGAGGAGCGCCCTATGATACTACCACGTGTAGTCGCTTGGTGGGCATCTTTTGTGATCTGGATCTTATTGGCGTTGTTGGAGGATCCTGTTGCCGACGTTGATGTCAAGTTGTTGCAGACGTCGCCACTTGCATCGGGTAGGTTGTACACTTTGACTGCAACCTCCCCGTGCCAGTAGCCTCTGTATACTGATGCGAATCTGCCGTGACCGATTAACTTGTCGATTTTGACGTCTTGTAGACTCATGATTTCGTCGTAGTCATCGTCAATTCGCTTAACACAAAAATCCATTAATCTCAATTATTGATATATTAGTCTCAATTATTAAGGACTGAATTACGAAACGAACATCTCACATTTCAATTTACAACGGTTTTACAGGAACACCAACGTTTTCTGACATTAGATGAAGGTGTTTGATTGTAACGAACCTTGTCAAAGCTCTCTCCGATCGACCATCTATCTCTGAAACTGGAAGTAGCACCATTTGCAGCATTCTCGCTGTCAGTCTAAAACACAAAAGACACAAATGCTTATATTGCATTACAGAATCTACGTCTAAAAGAGAAACTTTTTATGTCGTTTAACTCCCGCGCAAGTTTTTTTTTACTAAATCCGAGCAAAATCCAGCGTGAGCGGCGAAACCTTCAAAGCTGATATTTCAAAAAAAACAAGAACTCCTGGGACTCTTATCGCGCTACCCATAAAACACTTAATATGTGCTCCGCAGCCAATGCTTCGATTGCAGCTACAAAACCGACTAATACCAGTAATATAGTATTATTACTATGACACACCAAAGTAGTTGACGTATTTTGACTCGATCTCGACACAGTGACGCCTTCAGAGTCCACGTGTTGGGCTGAAGTGATGGTTGAAGTTGCGACTGAAGATGCCGGCGATGATATCGTGTTATTACTCGCAGCCTCCTTCAGATTAGACTCACTGGGCTGAAGTAGTAGTGAGTCCACTTCGTATGTGGAGTGGGGAGTTGTTGCGGGACCTGAGACGAGGGTTCCTGAATGGGAGGTGTTGGTGGCGCTGATGAGGATTCGATCATCGTCGGCAGAGGCGCCCCTGCCGCGCAAGTGGAGGGTGGACTTGACAGCAGCAGCAGAAGCGGAGCAGGAAGAGACGAAAGAGGGGAGGGAGTCGAAGTAGCGGTGGTGGTGAGCACCCGAGGGAGGGGGGACACTCAGGCAGCCCTCTTGACCACACTCACTTTTAGTGATTAAGTCTCGATCTGAATAGAAGACAAATTGTCAACACCTCATTCTATTCGAAATAAAAACATATGAATTATTACACATAAAGTTTTGAAAAATTATTGAAGTTTACACGTAATACAAACTCGAACACCCAAAGTATGACCATATAACTTGCAAACAGTTATAACAAAAAGGCCTATTATCCAACTCAATGGTTTTGAAAATTTCAGCAAATTATATCTTCCCTCATCCCTTCAAGCTCCTGAAAGATTTCGACCCCTAAGACATTCACTCTTCCCCAAGCTGTTTTAATTACACTATTTGAAGTAAAAGTCCATTCAAATAGTTTTGAATTCTATTAGTTAAACCTGTGTGTGTGAAGTTGAAGATATGTGAGTAGGTGGGACAGCCGCCACTGTTCGCACTGGGAGGGTTGACTGGACAGGGACTGGACTCCACAGAAGAGATATCCGAGGACACTCCTGTAGATGTGGAGATGTTCCGCACACTCCTCGGCTGCCCAAGATTCATGCTGGAGCCCGCAGGACCTATAAAAAAGAAAACACACGTCAGAAATCACACAAAAAACTACGTAAAACAACAAAAAAGCACATCACAAACCACTCGACCTCTATTGATAGCATATATTCTAAGCATCGAATTAATATCCAGCAAATGACGGCAAAGTATTGCAGGAATAACGAAATCGATTTTCAACAAGGATAGACGGTTGCTGCGCAAGTTACACAGTATGTTCCGACTAGTTTATCAAAAAATGTATATAATTTTGTTCATGAACTCTTTTTTTTCAAGTAAGTTATTTTTTTTGAACGTGGTGTAATCAAAGTTCTGAAAAAAACCTGAAATTTAGGTATATTTGACAGTCACAGTAAATTAGGCAAATCAGGCAACGGCTTGTCGAATAATAAAAAAATTTTGGGCTACAAAACAAAAATTTTACTATAAAGCCTGCTTGCTCACACTATTCGCTCATAAAATTAGACCAAAAAACAAACGGGTTTTTCTCGCCCCAAAATAATTTTTCAACATTTTTTATGTCGTTCGAATCACGACTGAAAAGACTTTAATATGATATATCACTCGACCCATTCAGATAATTATTTGTGGTAACTGATTTTGAGTGGAAAACAAAAACATAGCCAATCGAAGATTGGAAAAGAGTAATGAACGCAAGTAAACATAAACGCAACACTGACTTTGTTGAAAAAATCTCATCTTTCGAACTTCAAAGAAAAAAATGGATGCCCTTTAAGCTCTTTGAGTTTCTAGAACAACTTATGATTGGCGCTTGTTTGATAGCATTAACCAAACTAGATAAAACTGGATCAACAGGAAAAGTTTTTATTCCGCTGGAAATCTAAACAACAAATCGCTCTTTTGAAGCCAGAAATATTTTGCGTTTTTTTTTCGCGCCATTTCCAATTTGTATTTGGAAAAACTATTAACGTCACTTTCAGCAGATGAATTTCAATTGAACTCAAAAAGTGCATTACACCTAAGTTCAACAAAAAATTTTGAATTTTTTCCTGAAAAACAAAACAAAAACAGCAAGACCTATTTCAGAGTCTTCACTACGTTCATTACTCTTATAAATAAAAAAGTAAAACACACCGGAATTCAAAGTTCCTCCCCATTTTCAATGGTCAGAACAATACGGCAAAAATAAATTAAGTTCAAGTCCGCTGTACCTTCAAAACATACATATCAAAAACCACTCGGCCAGTATGGATAGTAAAAAAATCATTTTTTCGCAAAAATTGACGGTAAAAGAAAATATTTCCAAAATAAATAAATCGATCTCATTAAGGCAAAAATCGAAGTTAAGTTAGAGTCTTGAAATATTCTTTTTTTATTGTTCCGATGATTGAAGTGTGTTTCAGTTTTTTCTTTTTGCTTTCCACTCAAATCAGGCACCACAACAAATCATCAATATGCGTCGAGTGATCATATCAAAACCCATATCGAATTAACATAGCCAACCGAAGATTGAAAAGGAGTAATGAACGCAAGTAAACATAAAAAACACTGACGTTCACTGACTTTCGAATTTCAAAGAAAAAAATAGATGCCCATTAAGCTATTTGAATTTCTAGAACAATTTATGATTGGTGCTTTTTTGATAACATGAACCCAACTTGAGAAAACTGGATCAATAGTTAAAGCTTTTATTATGCTGGAAAGTCTTTAAAATAAATTCCACTTTCGAAACTAGAAGTCAGTCACGTTTTTTCGCGCCATTTCCACGTTCGCATTTGGAGAGTGCTATTAACGTCAGTTTGAGCAGATGAATTTCAATTGAACTCAAAAAGAGCCTTATACCTAAGTGCATTAATATTTTAAGACTTTTTCCTAAAAAAAAACAAAAAAAATCAGCAAGACCTATATAAGAGTCTTCACTACGTTCATTCCTGATTCGAACGACATTTAAAAATTTCATGTTGTCCCAGTGTTCAGAAAAACTGATTCATAAGTTTGAGTTTCAGTTCAATTTCGAGTAAAGTAAGCGAGCATACTGTTTTATAGAAGAATAGGCGTTGAAATTTTAGCTTTACTCGGGTAAAAATATTTTGGAAATAAAAATTTTACTCAAAAAATAGCTGCCAAAAAACTATAAATTTCGACAAAACTAATGCCTAATTTGCCTCTTTTACTGTGATTGTCGAATATGCCTCAGTTCTTGGCTTTTGTCAGATACTTTTATCACGCCACGCACAAAAAAGACACTAATTTGAAAATAAATGTACTTTAAGAATATGGTAGGAATATTCTGATGACTTGCACAGCAACCAGCTATATTTTTAGTATTAATTATTTTATGATGAGCGGAGTAGGTTACCTGTGCCTGTTGGACTTGCAAAGTCAGTGCCTGAGAGTCCCATGGAGCTACTACTGCAACTGTCTGCCGATGATTCGGTTGTGATGGCGTGTCGACTGCTGAATGTGCTCTCATTGCCCATCCCCACACCGTCTCCGCATCCCGACTGCAGGATAGCCCCTTGTGGCACAAAGTGACTGCTGATTGTAGCCACAGGCCTGAAAGCTCTAAACAAAGAACAATTTTAAGTTTTTGTCACTCAATAAAAATTCTCTTTTTGTTCCCCATCAAGCCGGAAAAAGTTCCTTTTCGAGTGTTTTTTTAAAATTTTTATCAACGGGAAATCAGATAACACAAATAAAAGCCTGATCGTATTCATACAAGACATTGCAGCTGCGATTCGATCGATAGTAGGATAACTCCGTCGAGAAAAATAGGTTTGATAATTATGCGTATGAGTCCAATTTGAAGAGAGAAACGCCATTGAGTTGAGAAACCTGCTCAGTAAGCTGTGAAAAATTGAAATTTTAGATGTGAGCAACTAAATTTTCTCGATTAAGTATCCGGTTCCTGGACACGAAAATGTTCTGAAAAAAAAACATCTAACAAATTTGCTTTTGTTCAAATAATTTTTTTTGCAAAGATAAATGTTGATGACAATTGGAGCCATTATTGGTGATCTCTATTGCCATTTTTCCTTCTGCCCACACGCACAAAAAATAACCAAAGATTGTTGTGAAAGTGCAAATTAACAAGAAAACCCATTTTTTTTACTTTTAGTTTGAAAGTATATCACTTTAAAATTCTCTAAGTTGTAAGAACCTTTAAGGATTGGCATTTTTGATAAAACTAATACAATTAAAGTAAACTGATTCAACGGGTGATTTATTAAATTTCGCGAAATTAAAATCCATTTTTGAAACTTGAGGTCAATCACCTTTTTTTGATTCCCTTTGCAACTGTTTGCCGACACTTGAAAAGGAACGGTTCTTGTTCAAGACATCCCTTTACACCAGTTTTAACGTTTTTTCCATTCAAAAATTATACGACACATACTTCACAAAAGCAGTGAAAAGCAGTACTTTGCTGTGAAAACTAGTTTTTGGGGGTTCAGTTAGAATTTTTTTGGCACACTAATAGCTCAAAAAATTAGCTCCGTTGAAAGCGTTTTAATCAATTTTCCTTTGAGAACTCTGAAAAAAAAGTGTATTCTAAGTCATCGGGTTTTTAGCAACATTTGAACTGAATAACTCGAAAATTTGACTTCTTTGAAGCAAATGAATGTGTCGGAACTATCTTACCAACAATTAAAACTCCCAACAATTTTTAAAAAATGGCTCTAAATTATAACAATTGACGTTGGAAAAAAAATCTAAAGTTCTCTGATACAGAAACAAATCTCAGTTCGAAATTTGATCAATTCGAAACTAAAAAGAACGAATATAACATGTTCCAACTACATTCATCCTAGCAAAAATAATCGAAACACCAAATAAAAAAAAACTATTCGAGGAGGAAATATTTTTCACAAAGTGATAATTTGTCACCATAATTCGTCAAACGAAATTGATACGCCATTCAACATCTCTACACGTCGCTAACAGAAAAACATGTAAACAAAATTTGAAAGTTTAACATCAAAAAAATCAAACCAAAATCACAATGACATAAAAAACTAAGTAATAACAATTTCATCAAAATACCTCAATTTAAAATCCAGCAAAATCAAAACATATCCAACAGACAGTTGCAAAAGAGTCAAAGAACTCAAGGAAACAGGAAAAAAAGATGATTTATTTTTTGAAAAAATTTCAACTTTCGAAGATCAAAGAAAAAAAGATGGCATTAAAAAAGATGGCTTTGAATTTCTAGGACAATTTATGTTTGACATTCAATAGGCAAAAAAATAGGTAAAGCTCTTTGAATTTCTAGAACAATTTATGATTGACTTTCAATGGGTAAAACTGGATCAATATTTCGCTGGGAAATTCGCTAATTCATTTCCACTTTGAAACTAGAAGTCGATCACGTTTTCCTTGACCTTTACAGTTTTACTGTTTAATAGTGGAGTTTGCCTTCCTTTACAAATGAAATGCATTGAGCTTAAAAAGAAATCACAAGTCAAACCGCAAAAAAAAGCTTGAATCAATTTTACTTTTTTCTAGAAAAAATACTTTAAAAAATCACCCAAGGACTACATAAGAGTCTTCACTACGTTAATTACTCTTAAAAACTGTAACATAGCCAAAATGCAGTTAAAAACGAGTCAATGAACGCAAGGAAACAGAAAAAAAAGAATAAACTTTCGAATCTCAGACAAAAAGTATATGGATTCAAAACTTTTCGAATTTCAAAAGCAATAGTTGGTACAATTTGATAAAAATAAACCAACTTCAGATAACTGAATTATTACACTGTGTATTTATTCCGCTGGAAAATCTATAAAATAAACACACTTTGTAACTAAAAATCGATCACGTTTTTTCGCGCCATTTCAGCTTTCATAATTCGAGAGTGCATTTTGCCCATCTTCTAACAAATGAACTTGAACTGAACTCAAAAAGTGAAAATATACCCGAGGGAAATGAATGCTTTTGTGTTATAAGAGCATTTTAAGACTTCTCTAGAAAAAAAAACGAGAAAACAAAAACATCGCGACCTTAATAGGATTCTGAGGTACGTACTCTTAAAAATAAAAAATCACAACTTATATCGACCTATATAAGAGTCTGAACTACCTTCATCGACTGTTAAAAATTTACACAGAGGCGAAGTTGCACTTCGCATACACAAGCAAAAACCGACCGATAATGCTACAGGGAGAAACTGAATGAGTAAAACTTTGAGCCTCTAAAATTTCTTAAGTTACGCACGCCAATTATGAGTCTACATAATTGCTAAGTGACTCAAGCCAATTATGACGCATTAGAAGAACCAGTCAATTTGAACAAAAAAGAAATTTACCAACTAGCACGCCACAATTTATAGAGCGTACGCATTTTAACTAGTATACGAAAAAGTTCATTAAAACATCCTAACCTGCCCAGTTTCGAACCCTCTTAATTTGTTACTGGTCGCCTTCCCTACCTTTAAGCTAGAGACCCATGATACCTTGAAGAGCTAAAGTGCTATTTGTAATATAATAGTCGCGACTTAGGTTGGAAAAAAAAGGTTCATACTATAACACAAGCTTTGCTTGTGTAAATAGGCACAGGAAAACAATTGAAACCTCACAACAACGCTAGACCAAACTAGAAGTACAGGATACCATTCCTCTTAAATAATTCGCTCGCAAAAAGACTCGCTTTGCTCTCAAAATGTCTTAGGTCCATTTTTAGCTGGCAATTTTCAATAGCATCCTTGCTTTTGTGTGAAACATTGATTTTCATAAAATCGTTTGTTTTAAATTTTGAATTATTGATCCCGGTGAACTGTTTGTGGCTAATTTTTATTTTAAATCTGGTATTCTAAATTACTAGTGACGTCGAAAACAATTTCTTTTTCATTCAACTTGCACTTATACTCCATACAAAAATCGATTGATACTTGATAATTTTATAATCCTCTGTTTGAAAACTAACGAATAAAGCTCTGTGAAAAAGTATTTTGCTGAATGAAAAAACACTGCCCATTTGAAGCTAAACAATTGTCTCAAATTCAGAGCTTTTAGAAAGTATCAGTAACTTCGATTTTCAGGAGGCCTTAAGTCAAAATGAAAAATCTGAGAAAAAAGTTTCAGCTGTTTAATCCGAACATCTGCCGCAAAGTAACTGCAATTGAAACGTAAAATCGATTACTTCCATTTTATTTTGCTTTTTTCTCAAAGTAATTTGCCAAATCTAAAATTTATAGACCATGCCTGCATACCACAAATTAATATCACTAGAAAAAATATAGCATAGAACATAGATGACAGAGAGAAAGGTGGAATCCCTCATGCGCGAAGGACCGAATGCGCGAAAACAAAAATCAGCCAATCAGATTTCAGTAATCTAAAATTTAGAAAGAAAGTAAACATTTCCAGGGACTGAATATTGATATTGGCTGAATATAAAAACAGCAGAAATATGCAAAGTTTTCAAATTGTCACTGACCGCTGGCGAATTGTAACGAATTTGATAGTTCAAGGGTTTCGTTCTGAAAGAAGCAAAATATTGCTTCATTTAACTCATTTTAATTGAAGGGCAATTGATTCTTTTTTTAAAATGACTTTCGGTTAATTTTGTTTTCGGTCCTTCGCTTACAAGTTTTCTCGCCCATTCGGTCCTTCGCGCATGAGAATAGACCCCAGAGAGAATAGTTCATAAAAAGCAAAAAAAAATTCTGAATTTTCAATTGCCATATTCCAGGTCAAATAAATTCATTTCGAAACTTTTTGTGGCTACGGGAAAATCGAGAAGAACTCAAGTAAATATTTGATTAACTTACGGCGTAGAGACCGATTTGGGTGACCAAGTTGAGCTGCCTGACTTTGTCTCCAAACTTCGCTTCAGTTTTGGGTCCATTTCTACAATGAAACAATTAACTTGTTCAATGCTGACTATCTCCCATAGATTTACATCAAAGGTCGATTAAATTCGAGTAAATTTCCCGAAAAAAATGGGAATAATAAAAAAATTTGAACAGTTTATGATAGATGACATAGATCATTTACTTTTCCTCGATTCCTGAAATTCAATGTATTATGTAACGATCTTAAATAATCTGATACGAAAATTGTAAATGAAGATAGATGCCCTTTAAAGAATAATTAAATTGATGGGCCAATTTGATTTTCTCCTACACAACATCCCAATCCAAAATCTAATTTTTAAAAGGTAACCACAGAATACCACAGTCACTTATTGAAACCTTCTACAAATTCAAGTAATTGCACGTAGGTTTTAGTTTTAATCATCAAAAAAAATCCCGCTCTTGAGTTGCTCTTTAGGATGCGAATAAAGCCTTTTAAAATTTTAAAACCAGGTTCAGCTATAACCGCGGTAGCAGTACACGTGCAGCTTTTTAAATTGATTTGAATGCCACAAATTAGTGACATCTAATATAGTAAATTTCGTGAATTTTTTTTCGAACATCGACCTTAACGAAGAGGCGACATGTATTTCACAAACGCAATCCAAAAAATACACAAGCTCTAAAATGAACGAAAAAAAGAAAACAAGCCTTAAACAAATTACTTTTGCAAGTAAAAGCTGGTTTTCAGACAGAATTGTTGTCGGTAATGCCTATAAATTCAACTTTGCACAGAAAAAACTCATTGGATAAACATCTCACAAAAATTTGCACAAAATATGCGATTTGCGTTGGAAAAAAAAAAGACCAACCCAATTACACTATGCTCGCTTGTGTTAACATTTTCCTTTAACTTTGAAATTAAGATTAAAGGAAACTTTTCTCGTTCCAATAAAATTTGTCTGTTCGAACTTTTTCAGCTCTCTTTACGCTTCAAAGAGGTAGATTTTGGACCAAGTGAACAATCTCCTCCCTAAATCAATTTACGAGGGAGATTGTTCACTTAGTCAAAAGTAATCTTTTTCAGCCACTCTGATTTGAGCATAGTACATGCAGGCCTTACGGCTTGAATTTTCTAATTATTTTAGGGCGGAGAGTGTTCTCTTGATATATTAAAGGGGGGGGGGGGATTTTACACATGGACCTAGATTTTTGTTGACGTAATATGTATACATTTACCTCCTTTCCTAGGAAGTGAATTGGCTTTTGGGTCTGATTTGTCGAATAGGCGGCCGCCCAGTGTGCGTGATGAGAAGTTGGAGATGGTGGCTGAGGTGAGCGTGGTGGGAGAGATGAAGGGCGTCGTGTGGTGATTGGACTGTTCCACCAGTTTGGACTCCCTCTCCTCATGCAGTCCACACGAGGCAGGCGCATTCAATTGGCACTTTTTGTGGCATTTGAACCTACACACACCATCACAAAAGCCGTTTATTATAGCCAATAATCGTTCTAGAGGGAAATTAAAACTGTAATTTAAACATAGCCAACAGACAGTTGGAAAAGAGTCAAGGAACGCAAGTAAACAGAAAAAGATAACTGAGGTTTTTATTGAAAACATCAACTTGCAAATTTCCAAGAAAAAAATAGATGGCCTTAAAGATCTTTGGATTTCTAGAACGATTTATGATAGGTGTTTTTTTCTATTAAACTAAACCCAATTTGAGAAAACTGGATCTATAGATAAATTTTTAATTCCGCTGTAAAATCTGAACATTAAAATCCACTTTCGTTTAGAAGTCGATCACGTTTTTCGCGACTTCTACACTTTTGCGGTTCGTAAGAGGAGCTTGCCTTTCTTTTACTAAAAAAAATGAACTGAACTTAAACAAAATCAAAGTCAAAAATTAAATTTGAGCCTGAACTAATTTTAAGACCTTTCTTGAAAAAAAAACATCATGATCTATATAAGAGTCTGAACTACATTCATCAACTCTTAACCAAAAAAACTTTAGCCAGACATTTTAATTTTAGAATTGTTATCTTTAAGAGTCGATGAACGTAGTTAACACTTATATAGGTCATGATTTTTTTTTTCATTTTTTTCAGCTCTTAAAATGAAATATGAAAAAGTAGAAAAAAGCCTCGAACTAGTATAACTTGTGCTAAGTGACGCTTTTTGGAGTCTCACGTTCTTGCATCTGCGCCACGGGCCATACAAAACTTCCCAATAATAGCCACCAATGATGCAGCTCTAGCTGCTAATAAATTGTCAATGCTACGCGGCAAAAATGCCAGCAAATATGAACAAAAAGTGCGGCTTTGAACTTCTGACAAGTATCTCAGGAACTTTTCTCACTTTTCTAACGTCTTTCTCACGGAGCCACAGAAACTTGAATTACGGTAAACACTAGCCACAATTAAAGCAGAGAACAATGCTTTGAAATTTCAAACGCTTCAAATCGTGATTATAGCAAAAAAAGCCAGCGAAATTAAGTGCTGTTTTAATGATCAATAGCCAACTGACAGTTTGAAAAGAAAACTTTTGCGCCATTTCCACGTTCGTATTCGGAGAGTGCTATTCAAGTAACTTTCAGCAGATGAATTTCAATTGAACTCAAATAGTGCACATAAACCTAAGTGCATTCACAAATGCAATAATATGTATGAATGCACATCTGTAGTTATTAGAGCATTTTAAGACTTTTTCCAGAAAAAAAATCACCAAGACCTATACAAGAGTCTTCACTACGTTCATTAAGCTTAAACATTTATTTGCAACTAGGGTTGGAAAAAGTTGAATCTTACTGTCGCACTACGCTCGCTTATGTAATAACCAATATCAATAAAACTGTAACATGATATTAAGCCGGGGAAAACATTTCGTCAATGTCCCTATGGAATACAATGAGATCGGCCCTTTCAAGCTATCTCAAAACTTTCAAAAGACGATTTTCTGAGTTGATAGCAATTTTTACTGAATATCTTTTTTTCCCTAGTGTACCATTTACACACTGCTTTTGTTTTTTTGTTATCTTTCTTTTCATTTGTTTTATACCATTTTAACTGATCTGTTCCCTTTATTAACTGCCAAGTAGTTGTAAAAGGATGTTTCGTAGAGGCAGATATTGAATATAATAGAATACCTGCAGTCCTGACACTTGACGCCAGTGATGAGGAACTTGGCACAGACTCCACAGATGCCGATGTTGGGAATGGCCACGAACTTCTTCGCCACAAACTTGTGGCCGATACGGTGCGGAATCCTCACAGGCACTACAGCAAACCCAACATCATAAAATATAAAATACAGTGATATTCGATTAGATTAAGTCTCTTTATCTACGATAGTAAGGTCCAATATACGAGCTGTTCAGTGCCTTACGGAGATCCTACATGCGTTTTTTGATATTTTTCTGGGCTGGCTGATGCTACACATCATCAAATAACGAGCATGGATTACGGTGAGCCTCGAACCAATGACCTTTCGACTATGATGCGGAGGATTAGCCACTAAATTATCATTCCTCTAATACAATCTCACTAACACATTAAAATTTCACTACGTTCAACTACAATTCGAAACATGCATCCCATATTTTTGACTGAAATTTGAAATTGAAGAGAAGGCGGCCTTATGGCTCAAAAACAATTAATATTAACTCAACATTGTTATTTTACGTTAGTTACTTTCGCTTCGCATTTTAAAACTTTTTTCTCGGCTCGTGATTATTTGATGCAACCTCACTGAAACAATTGAACTTCACAAAAAGTTGAAATAAGAAGAAGAACTTACAAAAGTGGGGAGGACCAGGTGATTTTTCAACAGAGGTGTAGTATCCATCGTCAGAGGCATCTCCAGGCCTAAAGCAACGGTGAGTCAATTTTAAACCTAAAAATAGTGTAGATATTTCAGCTTATCGATTGAAGCTTTTCAAAAAAGATGTTAGTTGCCGATTTCACAAATGTGAAAAAAGCAGAGATTTCTGCTTTTTTTCTGAAATTAATATTTTGCCAATGCACAAAGAGATCTTTCATAATCATATTTACTATACCTCTCATGCGGGTATTTTTTGTGAAGATGTTGTTGAGATTTACAGATAGCCGAGATTTTTTCCGGGTAGATTTCATTGGTCAGCGGCGGATGTTCCACAGAAGCCGACCGCTGGAGAATTGTACTTGAGCCATCTAAAAGTGTGAAATTCAAACTGAAATCTATCTTTAAAGTCCAATCAAAGATGACCAAGTTAATGTATTTTGAGTAACTCTGCAGTACGCAATTCGCGGGGGGTCTCGAAAGTTAGCTGGGGGGGGGGGGGGTTTTGGACATTTTTTTGAACAGGGGGTTTCAAAATTATCAGAGGTAGACGGTCCCGCAAACTTGCATCAATTCTGACAATTATAATTGTAAAATCGAGCCAAAAATGTTCTATAATTAAGAATTGACAAAAAAAATATCCGTTATTTAATCCAGACGACCATTTGGAGCTCTCAAAAATGGAATATTTTTTTTTCTAAAATTTTGGGTCTACATTTATGGTATAAAAAATCCGCTGGAGTTCATTCAGTCCCCCTTCATTTGGAGGAGTCAATATTCTAGGGGGTCTATGAAGAAGTCGATTGGTATTGTGGGGAGTCCCGACAATTTCGTAGTGCAGATTACGCTCTCAATCAACGTTAAATCCGAAATGCGGGTAAAATAAACGAATCTGTCTGATTGGCTAAACAATTTTACAACCAAACCTTTAGAAAGCTATTGCATAAATTAGTCTAGAGGATGGCAATATAGTTGGATAACAACGCAAAAACTTTTAGCCCTCATTTGAACACTGACCTCTTTCACGCTGGCGGCTGTCTATACTGCAGGTAGTTTGCAACTTAAGATGAAGAGAACTCTTCGATTCTGAACAACAACCACAATTCAAGCCATGAAGATAGATTAGATTACCAAATCACCACAAGCAATAAGCAAATTATCTTTCTCTATTAAACCCAAGCAATGATTTATAGTGCAAGACAGAAATATGAATAAGAAGAAAAAAATATTGCAAATCACGGAGATAAATAAACAACAAATTTCGGACTGGTTTCGGTTGATTTGAGTTGCACCAAGTGTTTAAGATACTTGACTTCACAAATGAAACTTTATATTTCAAAATGCATTTATACTAATTTTTGAGATTTTTGGATAAAGACATTCAAAAAGATTAGACAAATTCAACAATGCGTTTCAAAATTATTTACCGTGTAACGCAGCTTTTAAAATATCTAATCCGATGAACAAAGTCTCTATTTCAGCATCTGATGCACCACATTTAGACGCAATGGCTCTGATCTGAGCGGCAGGCGTATCACACACACTTTCCAGGCTGGCAAAGTTGCTTTCCAAGCTCTAAACAGAAAAACATTTTCGGGTTGAAAAATAATAATAACCTCAGCGACAGTATTCTTTTGCCAGGGTTCTTTCAACAAAAACTATAAGAAATAGGCATAAGCAAAAACTCACAAAAATCGACAAATTGACAACATGGGTATACTTTTATTTAAACTTTTGTGCCCATTATAAACTTTTGGATCCATTTTGTGCCCATTATAAACTTTTGGATCCATTTTGTTCCCATTATAGTTTCTATGCTTCATAAATGATCTGCCAATTTGTTTCAAAACACGCTATGCGATGACAACAAACTGCTCTCAGAAAAGCAAAAACATATAAATTACATCAGTAAATGAATGTTTATCAAAAGAAGAGGCCACATTTCACCAAAAGTTTTTCAAGCCAACTGCAAGTTCAATGACGACGAGCATATCGCAGTTTTGTTCCAAATAAAAAGAAATGTGTCAAGCTGGACACTAAAATCTTCGTATTAACTATCTTTTTTGGCTCTGAAGTTTGGAAACCAAACAAAAAATCAATCAGTTGAAGACATGAAAAAGGAAACGAGGCCAATTTCGCCTTTTCATTCATAAAATACAATCGAAAACGCGAAATTTTCTATAATTTGCTCTTTTGTTCGATCAAAAATAACATATTTTGCAATGTTTCTTAAAATAGCCAACGAATACTAAGATTGCTATACTTATCATGATGAATTGCCCGAACAATTAAGATAAACGCATCTCAAACAAACACGAAACCGACCTAAAAACAACTTCACTGAGTTCAATATCTGGTACAGAGTCTAAAAACGAGCTTCCAATAGCAGAGTGACAGCTAATCTGAAAACAATATTATGGATTTGGATTACCAAAGATCGAAAGAAAAAATTGAGGAACTTGAACGGAAGTTATTTTTATAGCAATAAATAGAAGGAGAGCGATCTGAATGAGCTCTACAGCACTTCGAAATCAATTGTGATACTGACTTTTTCCAGAATCAATTGTGCTTAGAACCTCAGCAGGGGAATTTAAGCATTTTGGACATGAGCTAAAGCTGGGAACTCTCCAAAGTCGCGGGTGCTGTCGAAAACTCTTCTTTATCTTTAATATTTATAGAAATTCTATTAGAGACGAGAGTTAAAAAATGAAAAAAAAATATGCCACACAGATGCCAATCAGAGCTTCGCACTACATGCGATACAAAAATGATTAAAAACAGATCCAAAAAAAATGTTTACTAAAATTTAATTCGATAAGTTTGAAACATAACACGAGCAAAAAATAACAGTCAAATTAGCTTAAGAATCTGAAAAGCGCATTAACAGTGCATCATTCTATCTCCTTGAGAAAAGTTTGGCGCAAAGATGACAAAACTTTAGCCACAGCCAAAAGATAGCCTACAGACAGTCGGAAAAGTCAATAAGCGCAGGAAAAACAAAAAAAGCTTGACTTGGTTTTTCGAAAACACTTCAACTTTCGAATTTCAACGTTAAAACATATTAGCCAAGAGCTATTTGAATTTTCAAGAGGAATTTATGATTGATATCAAGATAGTAAAAAAGATTAAACATGCAGCAAAATACACCAATAAAAAAGGAAGCAACATCATGAAGACAAAAACCATTGATTGACTTCGCCAAAAAATCCCAAAAGGATTCGAGCTGCAGCCATACATTGAACAGCACAGGATCGCTATTCTATCTACACATGCTAAATGAACCAATCTGTTGAAATAACTTGCAAAAAGTACATAAAACGAAAATGCTTGAGCACGAAGTCGAAAAACACCTCAATAAGTTATACATTCTACTCATATCTCTAATTAGCTTGTGGTAATTAATCCAAAAAAAGATCGACCGAAACTTTAAGGTGTTTCATTTTTTCTATAGATATTTGAATCAAGAAAAATGCAATCAGAAGCACAAAATACTAAAACCAGGCTTAAAAGAACAAACTAGTAAGAGTGTCAGGGGCGGATTTTAGGGGGACGCTCTCTTCCTCGGGGATTCGACCCCCTGTCGACCAAAAGAGTTCCCCCTTTGTACTATTTTGAGACATCCAATTTTGGTAACGGACGCTAAAAAATTTCTAAAGGCACATTTGGCGCCATTATAAAATAATTTTTGAGGGGTAAGAGCGCGCCAAAAAAAACGCAATTTTTAGGGCAAAATTTTCCAAAAAGTGCCTAAATAGCCTTTTTTGTTTGTTTTTTTTCAAAATTTTGCCTCCGGTGCAGAAAATTTGGCCAAAACGAGGTCTTTTATCGCTTTGGGAGAGCTCGGAAAACCAACTTGGTCGACCTAAAAAAAATTGTCCAAAAATTGTCCTCGAGAACATAGTAGATACGCCCCTGATGAATCTGTAGCCTGGAAATTAGGCTGACATAATATCAACCAAAAAAATACATGTGCATCAATTTTCAAATTTTCGGAGACTCAGTACCTAAAAACCGCCTAACACTAGAAATAGCGATGCCTCACCTCAGCAAGCGATTCCATATAAAAAACAATGTACAAATTTCGATATATTATTGTGACTTAAAACAAATATTTGTTTCCTCTAGTTAAATATGTAATTTTCACATACTGCTCGAATTTATGGCTCGAGATAACTAGACTTACAATACTAAGAGTTTGTCTAATGTCTATAGACTTCAGCCACAGCCGGAAATCTGGGTAACTTGATATTTTTTGCTGAGTAGATATATCATTTTGCGCGCAATCCCGATTGAGAGATTGTTTTGAAGAAATTTGTTCGGCAAACAAACGTGCCAGCTCCTTCTGAAATTATAAATAAGGATTAGCGGGCAAAATCAAAATTCCTTTTTTGATTAAATTGTGAAAACTAACTCTAATTCTCTCTCGGCTGACACCATGCGGAGAGGTTGCGTCTAAATCTAATACAGCAATAGTTTCATTAATTTGTAGCTGCAAATTTTGGAGCAAGGAGAGCACATCGTCTAAGTCAACTTCCATTCGCTCTAAAAACAATCAACTCATTAATACGCTCATCAGCTAGATTCGACATTAGAATTTTGATACATTGAACACGACAAAAGCTATTCAAACATATATTACACAGAGGCGAAGCTGCGCTTCCTAAACACTAGCGAGAACACGACAAAGAGCAAATCTATAAAATGCAATAAGCCTTAAATTAGTAAAAATTCGGCGACGTCTCGGATTCGATCTGCGACCTAGAGATTAGGAGTCTCACGCACTAACTACTCAGCCACGGAGGCACGAATAAGTGAACACTTTAATGAACACCTTTATTTGCGAGTTAGCTTAGAAAAAAGAAGGCTCCTACTAATACACGTACGCTCGCAAGCTGGCTAGTTTAATAAAAATAATTGATCACGTTGCAAGTATAAAGTCAACAGAAGTTATCACCAGGCGTTCTTTCTTCATCATATTCTCGAAAAAGAACTTGGTGGAAACATATTGCACTATTGCCCGGCGAAGTACAAGCAGCAGAAATTTTCCAACCAATTTGCTAAACAAAAACAGAAAACAAAGATATTAACTTTTACTGAATGCGCTGTTCTTTTCATTAGAAGCAAATGTTTCTTTGAGACAATGTTTGGTTGATATTTCGTCTCATTGTTTTGACTATTACAGGCATCTTTTATTTGTGGCGACTTATGGGTTCTGATTTGCTGGCTTATTGAACTGTTTTGCAATTCAGTAAACTGGAAATTCAATACTTCGCATTCTTTTCAAAAAAAAAAAATTATTTGTGAAAAACAGCTGACCTAATGAAAAAAAATTGCTCGAAACTTTCGCCGTGCCAAACGAGAAAGGGGCCCTTATTAAAAATTCCTCAATCATCACTCTAAACTGGTTTGAAAATCAAACACATTTAGATCTTCTTTCCAAGATATTGTTATTAATATGCTAGATCTATTATATAAATCAAAATGCTGCATGACAATTTCCTGATTGAATAGGACAAAAGAAATTTTAAATCACCAGCTTAAAAGGCGGGAATTCACAAGGTGCAGGTGTGTGCAGATTTTGATTGCTGTTTACCGATAGTGTGAAAATTTTATATGGTCGTGAATTTTGGAGGGTAGATAAACTTGAGTCTGCTGCAAACTTCTGTAAATGACCACTGGCACTGTATCTTGAGTGACACTCGGGCTTCTGGGGATTCACTGACAAACAACAGCACGCGATGAGGACATCGATCTTGAGTCCGGGGAGTATGTGCCAGTCGGTCATGTCTGGAAGTTTGACCTTGAGAGACGCGAAAATTCGTAATTTTGGAGTGCAATTTTAATTTTCAAATTTTCGAATGGAGCCTGTCATGCTCAGTTTTCTCGTACCAACTGATAACAGAAAGTGAAAAATCAGAACATCCGAATTTACAATTGCGGGAAATTACTCAAGAAAAACAGCGGGAAATTGCTATTCGCAATTTCCAGATATAGAATAGGACACGAGTAGAGCTGTCTTATCCCGAAATAGGAGGAGAGACGATAAATAGAAGAAAGAACGACTATTCGGAACGAACTAGAGTGGACCTTCAATGGAAAGGTGGACAGCTTGAGTGTCCCAATGGTTCAAGCAAAAAACTCAAATTCTAGAGTCGGAATTTACTTCGATTACCAAAACTGACCAGATTAAACTTATCTAGTTATATTACCTAATTCTTGAGTTGCTTACCAATTTAATTACTCCTTGTGCTCGAGTACATCGACATGTGAGTTCCCAATTTAAATTTCTCGAGTGTGTTTTATGACTGTTATGTTGAGATAAGGCGAGTTTTAGGTTGATCCATCTGAAATGGATCAAAGTTGTGACATTCGACCAGAATGGCCAAAATGCAGTCTCTGCAGAATTCAGGATTTTAGCAGTGAACCTTCCGGATTGGCGATTTAGAACGGATAAGGACGTTATTTGAATGATTGGCCAAACGGTGAAGGCTAGAAGATTCTGGAATTCTAAATTTTAAATTTTCGAAGTGATGACGTAACATTTCTGAGAAATGTTAAAACGGCCATTTTGGCTAAAATAGCAGAAAGAAACAGAACAACTTTATCTGCGATTACGAACAGTACGAAAATCGAGACTAAAAAACAACAACGAACTACCGAACAGCAGAGGACGTTCCGAGTTGCAACTATTGTGCTGTTACAATAGCTGCAAGGCCGTTGCGAACAACGGTGAAGGGTAAAAACCAGCCCTCCGAGTTAGCGTGAACCTGAGGTTAAGGAGCTTGATTCGCCGGATTCAAGAATCCGGAGGGGTCTCGGGACGGGAACTTTTATGAACTTGTATTGAATTTTAGCATCCTGTCATGTCCTGACTTGAATTTAACTGATATTTTGATTAGTTTTGACAAGGATGAGGTGCTAGGAGTGGGGGGAAAGGGTTGATCCATCTTCGATGGAGATGATGATTTTTATCTACTGAACAAAAAAAATAGTAAAATAATAAGTAGTAGCCCTGTTTTTAGGAGTGACCTTGTGGTCTGGGGATACTGAGACCCAGCCATGAGCTCACTAATTTTGCATGTAATTCAGTTAATTTGAGCGTTCTGGTCGAAGCCGGAGAACAGTAACGTTTTTGTCAGCCTGATGTAAGAAAGACCACCGAAAAGTACTGGCTTGGTAGAGACGGTGAAAAACATGCAAAGCTCTGTTTAGACGCTAGCCAGTCGTCTTAAGACTTAGTTTTGTTATCCGTCGATATGTATCTTCCGGGCGAATGTTACATGTATGTTTTTATGGCGCTCCTGGGTGTTATTCTTTCATAACATCATGACCGGCGGGACCGTTAACGAGCACTCCGCGCCGAGCGGATGCTCACATTAACGCCCTTAATAGGCCTAAACAGCCGGGGCGGAAGGGTAGTTCCGAACGCGGAAGCCTTCCGGATTACCGTGAATAGTTTTTTAACCTAGTTAAGACCGAAAATTCACGAACCAGGAAGGGTGGGGGGAATCATGAACCCCTCATCCCCTGAGTGGTTTGTGACCAAAAACACTTAAAGATATAAGCAAAACCAAACAAAAAGTAGTATAGTACCCAAGAAAAACAAAAAAAAACATAAAAAATAACCGGAAAAACCAAAAACAGTAAAAAAGTAAAAAATCAGTAGAAATCATCCCCCCAGACAAGATGTGATTCAACCCCCCCGTTTGTTGTTGATAGATATATTGTTGTTACAGGCATTTATATCAGTCAGGATCGTTACGATCAATTTTGTAGCCCGTTTGTGAGGCTTGTACTGTAGGGTTATTTGAGCATTTAAGCACGTTAATGATAAATTGCGCTCAATCCGGAAGGGTCAGCTGATTTGCGCTCAATTCGGAAGGGTCTTGGGTGAAGACCGATCCGGCAAGCAGTTCAAGGAGCAACAAGAAGGGGCTCAACGACAACAACAATCGACTGTTGGGTATCGTTAACAAGTTTTGTATCCCTTTTGGTACAAAAAGTAAGGTAGTAATCTGTGGGGGGCTCGACAGTGCTGCACTGTAGTGACCCTTCACCGAACTGCGAATATCCGAGTTAAGCACCTTAATTTGGATAATAAACAAACCCGGAGGGGTATAGTATTACTAATATTATTATTCATATAGCCTATATTAATAGTCACATATCGTTTTTCAGTGAAAAACAACGAAAACAGACCGGTTTTTAGGGTCAAAATAGCGATATTTTGATCCCCCCACAAGTCGCGATTTTTGAGATATCGATATTTTTTGAAACGGAAAAAAGCGCTAAGTTAGTGTGTTACATCGTAACTGCACTACTGTAATAAGTAGAACCGGTTAACTTTAGTTCGGAAGTGGTTGGAACTAGTTTGGTACCAAAAACCAAATTTTCCCAATTTTTGATAGTAAGAAACACTAAAAATCTAGAAAATTTTTTGAAATTTTTGAGGTAGGACAGTAAAAATAGTTGTTCGGACAACGTCCACTAGTGAATCTACAAGTCTTAAAATCCGCTACCCGAAAGCCTTCCGGGTTGCAGAGAAATCGAACATAACGTGTTTGATTTGGTGGATTCATCAATCCGGAGGGGTCCAGGTAGCATAGTTTTTCGCAAAATTTTTCTACAATAGCGTTTTAGATCGAGTCTTTTGCATTGAACTAGAAGAGTATAGGCCTTCTGAGCTCGGATCAATAATTTTTAGGTCGAAAGGACCAGATTTGCGGAAAAAGTTAGGCGGAACCTATAAGAGAGAAAATTTTTTGAGTTCGGAAAAAAGACGTTTTGGTTAATAACTTTGGAACTACTGATCATATCGAGTTGATCTTGGTACCAATAGATCAGAAATTAGCTGAGCTTACTAATAGGATCAGAAATTTTTCGGAAAAGCGAGCGAGAAAATTTTTTGAGATTGTTTTTAGCAAATTACACAAATCCGGAGGGGTACACCCTTCACGTTTTATAAATTTTTCTGAAAAACCCTTATACCTCTACCAAAAGTTGATAGCGATTGAACTAAGTAACTTAGGACAGTTCTAGACAAAAATGGAAGGCTGAAGGCACAAGACAACCATAATAGAGTCGAAGTTAGGCAAGTGATAAGACCCTTCACCGTTAGTGTGAATTGTCAAATAAGTGCCTTAACTTCAACCCGGAGGGGTCTAGGAAAGGAACCTATACCCTTCCCAGTTAATTCAAACAGCATAAAAGCAACGCAGAACGTATCCGGAGGGGTATAAGCTGAAATTAAGAAAACTACGGAAAGCTACTTTGACAGAGCTAAGGGCTCCCAATCCGGAGGGGTCGAAATTTTTCAAAGTCAGAGGGGTCCGAATCCGGAGGGGTCTACTTTCCACAAAACCGGAGGGGTCCGAATCCGGAGGGGTCTTATAGTTGCTAATTCCGAGGGGTCCCAATCCGGAGGGGTCCATATTCTGACAGTCCGGAAGGGTCCTATTTGTGCCGATCCGGAGAGGTATTATTTTATTAAGGACTTAGGTAAACGAAAGAAAGACTAAAAAGCGAGAGGTATTAGGTTA